GATTTTTATTTCATTCTTTTCAAAATAAATTTAGTACTTCTTTACCTTCTATATATTAGGGATTGACATTGATGTACTTTAGTCTTTCTCTTTGTAAAATACATTTTAGATTTATTCCATTGGAATGTTTTGTAACAGCACATATTTGAGGAAGTATATATGATATATATTTAATAAAATGGAAGAGATTTCAACTATCACTGAACTAAGGAGAATATGGGAACATCTGTTTGCATCTATCCAGGTATTCATGTGTCTGTTTTCCTTGACATATCATAGAAATAGTGTACTAAGAGCAGACATACATGCCTAACAGTTGTGTTTAGCAAGATCAAAATATGTATGTGGTACTGTCACCCATGGTCCTGATAAGAAACAGATGGCATACTCAAGCTGGACAATTTGAAGAGGATTAAATGAAGCAAGTATTCACAAATAGGTGGGCAGAGTTTAGAAAATCAACAAGAGATATTGTAGTATCCTGGGCTAGCAACAGAGAGGATGGGAATATTGCCCCTTAGATCTGAAGCACAAAGAAAAGGAGTGCTACCCCAAAAAGAGAGCTGTGTGGAGAAGGCTGCCTGATAGCAGCTGTAGTCCCAGGTAGAGGATGAGCCACCATGCCCGGCGGTTATTATAGAATTTAAAAGTGACTCCTCTTAAGGAAATTTTAATTAAGAGAAAAATATCCTAGAACTATGATTAGGGTCAAAACAGTATCTATGTTCTTTAGATATTAAGGAGAAAGTGTATCTGTCCTAAAAAAGTGTTTATAAGGAGAAGAATCTTCCTAGAACACTAACTTTAACACAGAACTCTCAGCACTACTCTAAAAAGTTAACATTAAAAATAATCTCGGTCGGGTATGGTGGCTCATGTCTGTAATCCCAGCAGTTTGGGAGGCCGAGACAGGTAGATCACTTGAGGGCAGGAGTTCAAGATGAGCCTGGTCAACATGGTGAAAACCCATCTTTACTGAAACTACAAAAATTAGCCGGGCTTGGTTGCATGTGCCTGTGGTCCCAGCTAATCAGGAGGCTGAAGTTGGAGAATCAGTTGAAACTGGGAGGCGGAGGTTGCAGTGAGCCAAGGTCGCACCTCTGCACTATCCAGCCTGGGCCACAGAGCAAGACTCTGTCTCAAAACAAAAACAAAAACAAAACAAAACAAAACAAAAAAACCATCTCAGTAGCAGATAAAGACTATTCCATTGTTTTTTGGAATAGAGGTATCTGTTCCAAAAAACTAGCTTCCCCTGGCAACTTCTCATTTCTATCAATGGAAGTTTCATTTTTCATATGTCCAAACCGTGAAGTGCCATCTCCAGGTCTGTCTCAGCATTTGTGATCAGTCCACAAGTTTTGTATCATTTCTGTATTCAAAACATTCTTCTGTGCATCCTATTCTGTTTCCACTATCTACTCACTACTTATCACCTAATTAGTAGATTATTTCAAAACTGTAAATACTTGTGTTTCTTCTTGCTCTCTCTCTCTCTCTTTTTTTTTCCTGGAAGTTAATTTCTAAACTTCCTCATTTTACCATGTTGCTGACCCTGAGCAAAAGAGGACAGTGATATTTTATTTCCTACAAACTTTTGTCATTTCAAGTGTTTTAAACCCATAATCCTTTTTCTTTCTTTGGAGTTGGGAGTCTTGCTCTGTCACCCATGTTGGAATACAGTGGCATAATCATGGCTCAACGTAGCCTCAAATTGTTGGGCCCAAGTGATTCTTCCTCCTCAGCTTCCCAAATATCTGGGACTATTGGTGTGTACCACTATGCTCAGCTAGTGTTTTTTTTTTTTTGAGATGGAGTCTCACTCTGTCGCCCAGGCTGGAGTACAGTGGCGCGATCTCAGCTCACTGCAACCTCCGCCTCTCAGGTTCAAGTGATTCTCCTGCCTCAGCCTTCCAAGTAACTGGGACTACAGGTGCATTCTACCACGCCCAGCTAAGTTTTTGTATTTTTAGTATAGACAGGGTTTCATCGTATTAGCCAAGATGGTCTTGATCGCCTGACCTTGTGATCCACCTGCCTCGGCTTCCCAAAGTGCTGGGATTACAAGCATGAGCCACCTCACCTGGCCTCCCAGCTAATTTTTAAAAATACTTTTTAGAGACAAAGTCTTGCTATGTTGCCCAGAATGATCTTGAACTTCTGGCCTCAAGTGATCCTCTCGCCTCAGCCTCCTGAATCACTGGGATTACAGGTGTTAGTCACCGTGCCTGACTACTATAATCTTTTAATAAACACAGAAATCTCAAGCACTGTTATTCCCATGAAAAACCATAGAATTGCAGAATTCAGAGATAATCTGTAGCAAATAATACATTGTTCCATTAACTTTCAGTTTTTTTTTCCTCCTCCTCCTTTTTTTTTTTTGAGACAGGGTGTTGTCCTGTTACCCAGGCTGGGGTGCAGTAGTGTGAACATGGCTTACTGAAGCCTTTACCTCTCGGGCTCAAGGTATCCTCCTCCCTCACCCTCCTGTGTAACTGGGACTACAGGCACATGCCACCATGCCCAACCAATTAAAAAATTTCTTTTTTAGAGATGAGGTCTCAATATGTTGCCCAGACTAGTCTTGATCTCCTGAACTCAAGGGGTCCTTCTGCCTCAACCTTTCAACATGTTGGGTTTATAGGTGTGATCCACTCACTGTACTCAGCCTGCTTTGAGTTCTTATCATGAACATGGCATGTATTATACTAAGTGAGGTTTTTAAAGGACAGGTTCTCCTTCTCCCAATCATATCTTCCTTGCTGCAATTCTAACCTGTTAACCTAGCCAGATCACTTGTCTCCATGGGAGGCCATATATTCCCTAACTCTAGAAAGAGATAGCTTGTGTTGGAACCTTGGTTCCACCACTTTCTAGTTTCAGCAATGTTCCTCATTTCTCTAAGCTTCAACAACGTTATATGAAAAAAGCAAGTAGTGATAATACCTACTTCACAGAGGTGAGGTAAGGATTGAGTTAATCTATGTGGCCTAATTCCCAGCATGTGCAAGCGTGCAATACATGTTGGCTACAAAATGTATGTACCTTGAAAACTCCCTGCTCATTCCCTTTGTGCTCTTGTTGCAATTTTCATGCTTCCCTGCCTTCCTCTACCACTAAATGGTCTCCCCGTGCTCCTCCCTATTGCCTGTGTTTTACCTGTCATTTCAAGTTCAACTCAGTTGCCTCTTCTTTAATAGTCTTTTCTAACTCCTCCAGTTTATGTTGAGCTCTAAATTCCTATAGGTCCTTCTATGCCATTTTAGTAATTATATTCGTATTTTTATGGCATATTTCTGCCTTTTATCGTATTTCTTCTTAACTTTACATGTAATAAAAGAGTTGTGGAATTACTATCTCAATCAAGATACAGAACAGTTTCATCATTTTCCCCAAAAAATCTGCCTTGGGATTTCTTTTTAAACAATTTACTGGGTATACATTCTTTTTCTGCATATACAATTTAGGTTCTTGAATTTAGTATTTGTTTTATACAAATTTGTCTTCCCTAAGTATGGCTTAGTATTGCACATACAGTGAGTGAGTAGATGCTTGAATGTTTGAATTGTATAAAACAAAGCCTAAAAGCATGGTAAATTTGAACATCTTTTTTTTTTTGTTTTTTTGAGACAGAGTCTAGCTCTGTCGCCCAGGCTGGAGTACAGTGGCTGGATCTCGGCTCACTGCAAACTCCGCCTCCCGGATTTACGCCATTCTTCTGCCTCAGCCTCCCGAGTAGCTGGGACTACAGGCGCCTGCCACCTCGCCCGGCTAGTTTTTTGTATTTTTTAGTAGAGACGGGGTTTCACTGTGTTAGCCAGGATGGTCTCCGATCTCCTGACCTCGTGATCCGCCCATCTCGGCCTCCCAAAGTGCTGGGATTACAGGCTTGAGCCACCACGCACGGCCTTGAACATCTTAAGAAGCCACTAATTTAAATTATTTAACTTTGATCTTTCAGGGTCATTTTATTTAGGTGCAAAATTTCAACTGAAAATTATTTCGGTATAACTTGTTAAAAGTGGTTTTGGAGCCTTGCCAGGGCTAATAAAACCAGGTGTTTGTTTGTCTTTGGAAAACAAAAGGCTTTTTCTTTCTATTTTATTACTGAATATATACTTATGGTTCCTATCATTTTCTTTCTCTCTCTCTCTTTTTTTTTTTTTTTTTCCTGAGATGGAGTCTTGCTCTGTCGACCAGGCTGGAGTGCAGTGGTGCAATCTCGACTCACTGCGACCTCTGCCCCCTGGGTTCAAGTGATTCTCCTGCTTCAGTCTGCCCAGTAGCTGGGACTACAGGCGTGCACTACCACGCCTGGCTAATTTTTGTGTTTTTAGTAGAAACGGGGCTTCACCATATTGGCCAGGCTCCTCTTGAACTCTTCATGTCAAGTGATCTGCCCGCCTTGGCCTCCCAAAGTGCTGGGATTACAGGCATGAGCCACCATACTTGGCTTGGTTTCTATTGTTTTCTAACCCTATTAGTTTAAATTCTAATGTAGAAAAAAATTTAAAAATTCTAATGTGAAGCAAAGTTCTACATGTTTCTTCTCCTGGATGATATTTGGCTGTTATGATATTAATTACTGAATTTATTTATGGAATTTTGCCTTTTTTCTTAAACACAGTTCAATATAAAGCAATTCAATTAAAAACGAATTAACTACAGAATGCAAAATGGAAAACCTTCCTGTTTTCTCAGCTTTATTTTTCCATGGGCCAATTTTGCTCTCCTTGTAGAAGTCTCTTTTATTGGTTATTTCTAAAATCGGAGGTCAATGCAAGTAATAGTATTTATACTTGGAAAAAGGTGGGGCTGATATGGACAAGCAAATGATGCTGCATGATTTTCTTAATCTTTGCCCTTGGGTATAATGGAGATCCATCTCCAGAGAGGGTAAAATATGGCTAGAATTTGCATCCCATTCAGTAGACTTTACTTCCTAATGAAGTGAATTGAATTTAATCATGTGTGTCTTTTTTTCCCTTCCCCAACAGCTTCCATGCCTATGGCTGTTCTAAAATTGGGCCAAATATATCCATTTCAGAGAGGCTTTTTCTGTAAAGACAACAGCATCAACTATCCGTACCATGACAGTACCGTCACATCCACTGTCCTCATCCTAGTAGGGGTTGGCTTGCCCATTTCCTCTGTAAGTAAATTAATAAGTAGGTAGTGATGGGTTTGTTGTGCTGGAGGTTGGATGAAGTATGGAGTTGGGGCGGGGGTAAATCCACAGTACTGTCTTCACCAGTGTTAATATGGTGAATGATTGCTTGAGGGATATACCCACTGTTTTAGTCCAGAGGCAGTGTTTCTCCAGTTAAAAGTGGATGTTACCCAGAACAACTTGATGTCATTCTGTAAGAATGATACAGTGATTATTTTTGAATAGGAGAGTCTTTTTGAGTCATTTGGACCAACTCCTCTCAGTAAACAAATGAAGAAACTTAGGTTCAGACACTTGTTAAAGCCCAGTAAGCTATTGTATGGCAGAGCTGAAACTAAGATTATGCTTGCTTTATCATACTGTTAAGTGGAAATTGAGGCCATGAAAAATGAAAATGTTTGCATATTAAATTTGAGAAAACAAACTCAGCAGAAAGATCACAAATCTATATGCAGAATAAAATTATTAGAATACATTAAGATATGTCACTACTGGCTGGGTGTGGTGGCTCACGCCTGTAATCCCAGCACTTTGGGAGGCCGAGGTGGACGGATCACCTGAGGTCAGCAGTTCAAGACCAGCCTGACCAACATGGAGAAACCCCTTCTCTACTAAAAATACAGAATTAGCTGGGCGTGGTGGCGCATGCCTGTAACCCTAGCTACTCAGGAGGCTGAGGCAGGAGAATTGCTTGAACCCGGGAGGTGGAAATTGCTGTGAGCAGAGATCACGCCATTGAACTCCAGCCTGGGCAATAAGAGCGAAACTCTGTCTCAAAAAAAAAAAAAAAAGAAGTCACCATTTCTTACTTTGTACTGTCCTTCAGATAGTTCATCAGTTTGTAGGATAATACTGGGTTTCACTATTTTAAGTAATTAAAAACTGTCATTCTAAGTTAAGATTCACAAACTAGGTTAAGATTGCCACTTGGGATATTATGCCTACTTTCTTTACCCTTGGCTCTCATTCCGAAGTCTTGCCATTGTGATTTTATGTGACTTGGAAATAGAAGGGAAGGAGCAAGGTGAAGATTTACCTCCTTGAGTATCTTGGCAGTGAAGCATATCACATCATATTTCTCCTCTGGCCACCTGTCTTGTTACTTGGCTGTCCTCGACTTACAAAAATTTAGTGTCTCAGTAAACTCAGCAACCTTGTTCTGCTGTAGGACTGGCTGGCTTTTCTCTCTCTATTTTGCTCCCAAATTGGGTAAGAATAATAACCTAGTTGTTTGTTTTTCCAGTTTATGTATCTGAGTTCATTTTGTCTTTTTGTCTAGTAGATTTTTTTCTAATGGCCATTAGCTCAGTATTTTGAAGGTGAAGGGGTCCAGTATTTTATTACGTTCTAAGAGATACAAGTATTAATATATTCTTATAATTCTAATTTGATTATAGCTACTTTTATGGGAGTAAAATGATAGAAAAATCTAGCATAAAATCTAGGATTTAGTTTAAGGAGATACTTCTTTTTCTAAAAAATAAATCCCACCATAACTGGTTACTTAAATTTTAGCCATTCAGCTTAGGAGAAACTGTGTGCAGGGAAATACTGCCACTTGGATGACAATAGACGGTGTTACTGTACTATATGAAGTACTAAGTAGTTGTGGTAGCCATGATTTTGAGCAACTATTGCCAGATAAAGTTTCTTTTTTTAAAAAAAAACTTACCCCTGTATTTGAGGAGATAATTGCTTGAGAGTGAATAAATAAATTGTAATAATAATATATGTATTTTTTTGAGATGGAGTTTTGCTCTTGTCGCCCAGGCTGGAGTGCAGTGGTGTAATATTGGCTCACTGCAATCTCTGCCTCCCAGGTTCAGGTGATTCTCCTGTCTAACTCTCCTGAGAAGCTGGGACTATAGGCGTGTGCCGCCATGCCTAGCTAATTTTTGTATTTTTTAGTAGAGATGGGGTTTCACCATATTGGCCAGGCTGGTCTTGAACTCCTGACCTCAAGCAATCTACCCTGCTTCAGCTCGGGTTCAAGCGATTCTCCTGCCTCAGCCTCTCAAGTAGCTGGAATTACAGGTGCTTGTCACCACGCCCAGCTAATTTTTGTATTTTTAGTAGAGATGGGGTTTCACTGTGTTGGCCACCTGGCAACATGCACCTGGCCCATAATCTTTTATTAATGAAAAAAAAAATGATTATAAAGTAGAAAGAGAAAATAAATAGCCCTTAGTTCTACTACCTGAAGACAACTACTGGTGGCATTTTGATGTTTCCTTTAGTTTGACAGTTTTTTTTTGTTGTTGTTGCTGCTGCTGTTTGTTTTTTATTTTTATTTTTTTTGAGATGGAGTCTTGCTCTGTTGTCCGGGCTGGAGTGCAGTGGCACAATCTCGACTCAGTGCAACCTCCGCCTCCCAGGTTCAAGCAATTCTCCTACCTCGACCTCCCAAGTAGCTGGGACTACAGGCATGCACCACCACACCTGGCTAATTTTTGTAGTTTTAGTAGAGACGGTGTTTTACCATGTTGGCCAGGCTGGTCTCAAACTCCTGACCTCAGGTGATCCACCTGCTTTGTAATCCCAAAGTGCTGGGATTACAGGCGTGAGCCACCACACCCAACCTAGTTTGACAGTTTTTATGTCATTGTGAGCACACCACAGATTTAGTTTTGTGCTTTGTTTTTTTACTTATCTTTATAACAATTTTTTTTTTTTTTAGTTATAGTATTATAATATCAAACAGCTTAAATAGCAATAAGGCTAAATTTTTTTATTTAAGGAGTGGAAAAAGAGTATCAATCTTTGAGTTCTTGGGTATTAATTCCTGTGAGTCTGCTGTTAGAATTGACCTGGAAAAATCTTTTAATGCCAATGATTTATTTATTTGTTTGTTTTGAGATGGAGTCTTGTCCTGTTGCCCAGGCTGGAGTGCAGTGGCATGATCTTGGCTTACTGCAACTGCAACCTTCCCCTGAGAATTGGTTCAAGCAATTCTCCTGCCTCAGGTTCCTGAGTAGCTGGAACTACAGGCATGTACCACCATGCTCAGATAATTTTTTGTATTTTTTTTTTGAGACGGAGTCTCGCTCAGTTGCCCAGGCTGGAGTGCAGTGGCACGATCTTGGTTCACTGCAAGCTCCCCCTCCCGGGTTCACACCATTCTCCTGCCTCAGCCTCCCAAGTAGCTGGGACTACAGGCGCCCACCGCCACTCCCGGCTAATTTTTTGCATTTTTAGTAGAGACGGGGTTTCACCGTGTTAGCCAGGATGGTCTCGATCTCCTGACCTCGTGATCTGCCCGCCTTGGCCTCCCAAAGTGCTGGAATTACAGGTGTGAGCCAGCGCACCCGGCCAATGTTTTGTATTTTTAATAGAGGCAGGGTTTCACCATATTGGTCAGGCTGGTCTTGAACTTCTGACCTCAGGTGATCCGCCAGCCTTGACCTCCCAAAGTACTGGGATTACGGGCATGAGCCACCACTCCTGGCCTAATGCCAATTTATTTTTAATTAAAGAAGTAGTATTTGGCCAGTTTCTGGGCCTTAAATGTGCTTGAATGTGCAGGAAAGGATTCTTGCAAATTCTTGGGGTAGATTTGTTTGTTTTAATAGTTTGTGTATAACATCTGTTGTTATATATAGAAAATAACTTATTTTCTATAAAATGAATTATTTATGCTTAATGTAACTTTAATATAATATGCCTTATAATTTGATCAGAAATAAGATTTTGGGTGATAGAAAATCTGTATTTTAAAGCAGTGATTTATTTTTACAATGCGGGGTTCATAATCTTTTTAAAAAATATATTCTCTACTGTTTCTTCTTTAGCTATCCAAAAAGGTGCCACATTCAGAAAACTATAGATTTCTGCATTATTTGGCTTTTACATTTTTTTTTGTTGTTGTTTTTGGATTTTAATAATCCATATTAGATTTGACACCAGACTTTTTTTTTCCCATCATTTTTGGCTTTGTGTAGTTCTACCTTCTCCCTTGGTAATTTGTTATATATTTTTATAAATTCTTATGTTTCTAGAAAAAGGTAAGACTTTTTGTTTGCAAACTTTCAGAGTAATGTTAGTAACAATAAAGTTAGTATTAAATCCATATGTTGCAATGAATAATATAGTTTGTCTAAATTTAAAAATTTATAGTTTCAGGATACAAAACTTGCCTATGTTTAATAGGCTATTTTAAATTGACTTGAGTACCGACTGTAAGTAGTTGCTTTTCTTAAGTCATGATTACTGTATGACATAACCTTTTAGCAAAAATATTTAGCCTAAAATAACAGTATAGCCAATGCTTGTGACCAACTTATAAAACTCTTTCTAAAGAGTGATTGTATTATTCATGGTGACCTAAAACTGGAAATGTACATGGATGTTTGTGAAAAGGGCTTAATCACTTTTTTTTTCAGGCGGAGTCTCGCTCTGTTGCCCAAGCTGGAGTGCAGTGGTGCGATTTCGGCACGCTGCAACCTCCACCTCCCGAGTTCAAGCGATTCTCCTGCCTCAGCCTCCTGAGTAGCTGGGATTACAGGCGCATGCCACCAACGCCCGGCTAATATTTGTATTTTTAATAGAGATGGGGTTTCACCATGTTAGTCAGGCTGGTCTCGAACTCCTGACCTCATGATCTGCCCACCTCGGCCTCCCAAAGTGTTGGGATTACAGGTGTGAGCCACCGCACCCGACCAAGGCTTAATCACTTTATATATTTTATTTTATTGTATTATATTTTTTTAGATGGAGTCTCACTCTTGCCCAGACTGGAGTGTAGTGGTGTGATCTCAGCTCACTGCAACCTCCGCCTCCCGGGTTCAAGTGCTTCTCCTACCTCAGCCTTCCGAGTAGCTGGGACTACAGGCCCATGCCACTATAACTGGCTGATTTTTTGTATTTTTAGTAGAGATAGGATTTCACCATGTTGGCCAGGCTGGTCTTGAACTCCTGACCTCAAGCAATCCACCCACCTCGGCCTCCCAAAGTGCTGAGGTTATAGGTGTGAGCCACCGCATCCA